CTATTTCTTTTGTGCATGTGAAGGGTGTGGCACGATGAAAGGCCAGGAGAACTCCCCTCTTTTTCTCCCTAAAGGTAGCATGAAACACTTGAGGATAAGCCGCGTGTAGGAATTTGGGCCTGGATGCATCAGAAAATTTTGTTTCTTGCAAGCCCACAATGTTTATATTGCGGGAGGCATAATAGCCGAAAGCCTTCCTGCGCTTGCGCGGCGAGTTCAGGCCCTGAACATTGTGGGTTATAATTTTATAGGAAGACATCATAATAGATAAGAAGTTGACTCACCATCCAGGAGGAGGCCCGACTGATATGCTGCGAATAAGGTAGGATCTGTGAGCTGGCGGTTCCGCTGCCACTAGGGGGAAGGGGGGGAATCTGACAGGGGCAGGGAAGGGGGAAAGAAATAAAGATAAGAAGACAAAAAAAGACAAGCAATATGCATGTGAAACACATTCAGACTTCCGCAGAAGTCTGCAGGTATAATTGCTCAGTAGCATTACAGACAGCGGGGGTACCTGGGGCACCCAGACACGAACTAGCTAACAGAGTACATAAATTTAAATAGTAAACGGTGCGTAGAAGCTATAAACCGTGATATTAAACATTTTGGCACTGCCAGCCTACGGCGTGCGTCACCTGGTGGAATGGAGAGAAGGGGATGCCAGTTGGGAAGAGTCGGGGGGGTCAGGGAGGGAGGGATATAGGTAGGGTAAGGGGAGAGTAGATAAGCCCAGGGGAGGAGAGGAATGAGCAAGGTGAGGAGCAATGATGCGGAAACATGTCGCCAAAACACAAACAATATGCCAACAATGTAATCCGTCATAGTACTCCTGTTTGAGTATCGAGTATTGCCCCCCTATGGTTGTTCAACTGTATCTATCAAAACTATCACATAACAATGACAAGTATGCCCCGGAGCGGCTCTACATGTCACCAAAGGGACCTGTTGGCAACAGGCCTCTTCCGTGTGGAACCAGGGTGCCACCTCCTGTCCCCATGGACCATATTCTGGGGAATTTCCTGAGATGTTCTCCCCGCGATGACTGGACAGTAGGACCGAGAAGTCAGTTGTGAAAGTTCCCGATGTGTGTCCACCCTTGATTGTACATGGAATGTCCAAGGACTTCACAGCGAGAAGGGCGACAATGTCCCCCACCTCAGGGACCAATGCAGGCCTTTCCACGGGATGTTGGTTAAATTGGGGACAGTGGGCTAAAGGCAGTATATCATGGAGCTCGACAAATCCAACCCCGCTGAATTCACAAACAAGGGAT